ACGCTCGGGGCCTCTGCCTCCCCCGCCCAGTGAGCGCCCCCCGCCCCCCGTGAGGGACCCGCCGGGCCGATCAGGTATGGCGAGGCGTGGGGTGGGTGGTCTCCCCGAAACCCAGCCTGCACAGGGCACTCCTGATCAGGGGCTGAACGGAGTCCAGCTGAAAGCCTGCGGGAAGCCTTGGGCTGCTTTCATCTTACCTCTGTGATTGCATCTTGGCCCCGTGCAAACCCGAGGGCTGCGGGGGCTGATAGCTGTTTCTGTCCGTGTTTTAGAGATGAGGAGACTGAGGAAGCAAGAAAGTGAGAGGATCACAAACTAGTTAATACCGAAGAGGCTAGAACTCTTTTCTTTTTTTAAAATATATTTTTATTGATTTCAGAGAGGAAGGAGAGGGAGAGAGAGATAGAAACATCAATGATGAGAGAATCACTGATCGGCTGCCTCCTGCACGGCCCCCTACTGGGGATGCAACCTGGGCATGTGTCCTTGACCAGGAATCCAACCGGTGACCTCAGTTCCTGGGTGATGCTCAACCGCTGAGCTACACCCGGCTGGGTGAGGCTAGCACTCTTTCATCTCATCTCACCACTCTGCAACCCGGCCTCCCTGAAGTGGTTTCAGATGTCCTAATTTGGGAGATAAATTCCCGTCTCCTGCAGCAGGGCCCGTTATTCCAACAAAAAGGGCAATTATTTAAGAGGGAATGAACTTCTGCTCTTCTCTATCTGTCAAGCTTTCCGGCCGCTTCCCTGCATAGTAAAGACAAATGTTAGAGCCCGTTTGGCTGTTGGCTCCCCTCTCCGGCACACAGAGCCCTTGGAGAATCAGATAAAGGCATAGGCCTTCGCTTGACAGAAATGCTCACAAGCATAAACTCGAGCTACGCACGGTAGTTCATGGGCTGGAGCACCTGCTGAAGCACATCTGTGGCCCCTGCCTAGGGCTGAGAACCTGAATCTGAGGGAGCAGCTTTCAGAGTATGAATTGAAGTGTGAGGATTACCCAGCATCATACTCCCCCTGTAATTATAATCGGTGCTTTTTTGTTTTGCATCAGTTATTGATGGAATCAGGGGAACTATCTACTTTTAAAATTTAACCTTATACAGGCAAGATGTTTGGAAATGGGGCATTTTTTTCCCCTCTCTGCAAAGTTAACGGACCTTTGACCCTGTGACCTTGGGAACCTAATAAACACCATTTTTTAAACCAGTGGCCCCAAACTTGACCATATACTTCAATCACCTGGGGAGCTTTAAAAAGCACGATGCCTGGGCCCCTTCTCCAGGGCTTCTGGTTTTGTTGGTCTGGGTTGCAGACGGGGCATCCGGATACTGGGATTGCAATGTCCCAGTGACTAATGTGCAGGAAAGTTAGAAAACCACTCCGCAAACCGCACTGCCACGGAGAGTCCACTCCAAACATACAAACTTACTAATCCGTTCAATCCAGTCCCTAGACATTGTGGCATCTCATTAAGTAGTCTGCAGTGAATTAACAAGAACAGGTAGTCAGATGAATGAAACACAGTGTCTTCTTTTTATCCAAAAGCTATGGATTTTCCCCCAAAGTGGTTGAGAAGCTGATTGCATGGCTCTACCAAATAGATGAATCAACAGATTAAATCTCCCCCAAAATAGGGTAGTCACATATAACATTTATTGTTCCTTTCAATTACATAAGTCAGATCTGTTTATTATAGAAAATAAAATAATCTATAATCCTACCACCACCACCACCTAAAAATAATCATTCATAAGTTTTTAAAAATTATTTTAGTCTTTTAAAATATATATATATATATATGTTTATAAAATTAGTATCATACTATGTATATTGTTTGGTATTAGTTTGTTTTTTATTTAACACTATTTCATTAACATTTCCTAATATGATACAATCTGACTTTTAATGACTGCATAATATTAAATCCTACAAAATACCTTAATTATTTAATCCCTCACTTGGTCATATAGGCCATCTCCAGATTTTTGCTGTTGCAGATAATGCAGGAATATATTCTTGTAACCAAATATTTGTGCACATCTCTATGTATTTCCTTGGAATGAATTTCTAGAAATGGAATGTCTAGGTCAATGGGTGTGCAGAGTAAACTATGGATTTCATAGGTACTGCCAAATTGGCCTCTAGAAAATTCCTACCAATTTACATCCCCACAAGGAACATATGCGAGATCATCGAGGGTGGATTTTGAGAGGTGGCTTAGCTTCATTGTTAGGAGAATGGGCTTTCAAATTTGACAGATTTGTAGTCAAATCCTGGTTCTTCTCATTAGCCTCCTGACTTGGTCTTTTTAACTTTCAACACCTCATCTGCTGTCTCTACCTTTCAGGGCTGTTATACAAATCCAACGAGATTAAGTGTATATAGTGGTTATTTCCCAACATAAATGACCACTTTTGTTATTATGCTGCCAATGGGAAATAGAAATGTTTCCTATTATGCTTGCCCAGGGTGAGAGACCGGCCAGGGCAGGGCATGCCTCCTGCCTTCATCAAGTGTCTGAGCCAAGACTTCAGGCAGGGATGTCTGCGATGGACGGTCGTCCCTTTGTAGGTCCTCTGATTGGATTCTGAATATGCAGTTAATAAGAGGTACTTACATTTATAGCACTAAGATGTGTGTTACAGGAAACGTCAGCATCGGACAAGTGGAGCACACTGCTGAAGATCAGGAGTCACTAAGGTCATTTTGGTTTACAGGAAATGCTTAAGTTCTTCTTTTTGTTTATTTTACTCACGACCCAAACAGCCTCTGCACTTGGAGGATGGAAGAGGCAAGATAGGTTCCTTTTTACTATCAAAAAGAATTTACTGTGTTATTTTCCTAGGAACTTAAAGTTTTCTAATTCTACCATACCACTGCATTTTTAAAAAGTGGTTTCAGATACTTATGTAGTGCTTTTTATTTGTTTTTTGACTAAGTATTCCTGGCAACAGTGCTGTGGGAAAGGTAACTATTTGGTGCTCTTTGTAAATAGGAAATCAAGCTCGGTAGGCAAGCAGCCTGCTCAGGGTCAGGGTCCTGCACCGGCATTTCTAGCCATGCACACTGATGAGCTGTTTGTCACTCCCTGCGTTAATCGCCCCCCGAAAGAGGAAGAATCAAGAAGGAACTTCTATTCTCAGGATGACTAACATTGGGTTTCCTGACCCACTTCTGTCTGGAAAGAGATTGTGTGCCCGTGGAATTAGCAATAATACTGTGCATTTAAAGAACTTAACCCATCTGAAGATCTAAAATAACTTCATAGCTTATTCTTCATTTAAAATCCTCTTTTAATACAGCACTTATTTAATAAGTATCATGTTGCAGTAATTAGTTCAAGGGCTACTTAAAATGATATTAAAATGTGTTTTAAGTATGTATACGATCGTCTGTATAAACAGATTATCACCTGTTGTCAACTATATCATCTCCAACCTCAATACTCACAGCCAAAACAGCCACTGAGCTGTCAATATGCACTCATTCCACCTCTGTGTATACATATGTGCATTTCTGAGTTTATATGTGCCTACTCCTTGCTTGGCTAAATCTCCTAGGAAGTGTCCACCATTTCTCCATGTTCTCGGTATCCATCAAGGACACAATAACTGCACCTTGGTGATGGAGAATGTAAGGTATGGCCCTAAATGTTGGTTTTTCTTTTACTCCAGGCCCTCTCCCACCTCCTCCTCCAATAAACAGAAATGGCAGCACATCTCGGGCCCTGCCTGCCACCCCGCAGTTGCCGTCCAGAGGAGTAGACAGTCCCAGAAGTGGGCCCCGGCCCCCGCCTCCTCCGGACAGGCCTGGTGCTGGGGTGCCTCCCCCACCTCCACCATCAACATCAATTAGAAACGGCTTCCAAGACTCTTCATGTGAAGGTGAGGCGTGGTCCCAGCTTCTTGGAATCCTACAAGCTGTAGAGCAGCGGCTGAATGGGAGATTTGTATTTGGGTGTGTGTTTGCATTAACATTTCTTGTTTGCATGACCCTCATTGTTATCACGCTACACTGCTCTATCTAACCCAGCGATTTTCAACCTTTTTCATCCCATGACACACATAAACTAATTACTAAAATTCTGGATTCTTGTGGCACAGCAGTTGAAAATCGCTATTCTAACCATTTTGGGGCCCACCGTGATTTCAAACCAAAAATAGTGATCCTCCTCCACTTTCCGAAGTCAGGTCATTTTCGCTCTTCCTTGTTTGAGTCACATTTGTTAACTTTCCAGCGATACCAGAATTCTGAAAAGAACCATTTGTAAATTAGCTTCTTATTACCTCCCTTTCTAAACAGTTTGCGGTAGGGAAGAGGCCCAATGACCTGAGGTATTAAGCAGCTTCCCTCTTCCTCTGTTATCAGAGGGTCCCAGGCATTCCTCCCACTGGTGGGAGGAGCAGTTAAGAGAGGTGTCCCAAGCCTTGGCCCCCAGCTCCCGAGCATCGCTCTACTTAAAATCCCTTGGATCTCGCTTTGGTTTGATTGGCAGACCCATATATTTTATCCTGTGCGATGTCAGTGACATTTCTAGTACTTCCAGCTTTTCTCTAAACTTCTGGACGTAAGACTAGTTCTCAGTTCTAGCTCATCCTGTGCTTTACATGACGTTTTCAGGGCAGATTGCCTGTTCTGAAGGCACTGTTGGTTTCTCTCCCTCAGATGAGTGGGAAAGCAGATTCAACTTCCATCCGATTTCTGACTTGCCACCTCCAGAGCCATATGTGCCAACAACCAAAAGTTATCCCAGTAAATTGGCAAGAAGTGAAAGCCGGAGTGAGTATTTTTGCAAGGGCTTTTGGTGGCTTCCTACTCTAATTGATAAAACTCTGGTTTATATACAATTGCGGGGGGCATAGAAAATCCAGGCCTATTGCCTGGAGTGGGAGACTTCAGAGAAGTCACTTCCGGGTTTGATGCCATCTAAATTCTGGTAAACTCCCCTTCTGCACATGATGGGAAAATGGAGATAATCCAGAATGCAGATGAGAAACAATTATTTTAATGTGTCATCACAAGCCCAAAACACTGTTGGGTTGCTAGTAGATCAAACTGTATTATTTTGCTTGTTTAGACAATTGCCCCCATTTTGATCTTCCTAAGATGGCACAAATAGAACCATCTGTTTTCTATTCCTACTAGTTTTGATACAAGCAAAATGTCTTAATTATAACAAAAACTTACTGAAATGGCCTTATTTAAATATATTATAATTATAGCTTTATAGAGTACTACATGAAAAATTTAAGTGTACCCATAATCTCTCCACATATTTTCATTTACCAGGTTCTCATCTAATTTTTATCCATCTAATAATTCTGATTAATTTATATGGTTGTAGTTAGAGAGTGAAGTTTTTGGTAGTGGGGTTTATATATTATTGTTTAGTAGACACTTCCCTATTTTATCACATGGTTTTTATGATACAAGTTTCCATCAAGTCCGCATATAATAATTTAGTTTGCCATTATTGGATACTTAGGTTACTTCTGTTTTGTTTGGGTTTTTTTGCTAATATATGTAATACCACCATAAGAAGTGACTCACTTTTCCACTATTGGGGGGAAATGTGAACAAGAAGAGGAAACAGAAAACTAAAATTTTACAACAAATGACTAGAACTGAAAAAGAATTAGCGTAAAATATACATATATCACTGATGAGACTCAGACCTGTGACAGGCTTAGCTTCGGAACCAAACTCCCAAAGCAGAAATGTGTGGAGAAAAAGCATCTGAACATGTCAGATAACCGTCACAATGTCCCTAAAATGTACACACACACACACACACACACACACACACACACCCTTTGTGCTCACTCCCTGGCTGAGCTCCTTACACATACACAGAGCCTGCTGACTCTTAGCACAGAGTTCTTAATATTTAGTTGATTCCCAGCCTTAGAGCAGATTAGTATCAACTGAAGTTAAGGTTGGTTAGAAGCAAAATCACCGACTTCAGGGAGAAGTGATAGGTGGCAAAGGAGGAGATAGGGACACAGAATTGTGCTATATATTAGAGCACAGTACAACACTAGATGTCTCTGTTGGGTTATCAAAGATAGGTCAAATTGTGCTTTGTGCCTGTGCTGAAGAATTCAAAGAATTAGAAAATATTTTAGGAAAAATTTCATGAATAGAAGTAAACAGAATATTGCTGCTTAAAAGGAGTAGTTTAATTCCTGGGGAAAATCATTGATGTGGAATATTGCATTCCTAGACGATGCCTAATAAGAGGTAGAGTTATAATAAAAATTATCATGCAAGAGTTGGTGGTTGAAATTTTGGGTGAAAAATGATTCTTCACATGGGACAAATTTCTTTGAGCTCTGCGTGTTTATATATGCATGTTTGTAGTGTGTGTGTTTATGTCGTAAGAGGGCCTTCTATCTGGTAAGAATACAGCCTGCTTTTCTTCCCTCTTGGGCACTAATAAATGAATTCACTTTAAGGAGTTGTTCACATAGACTCTAAATATGTTAATACACACACACACACAGGTGGGCAAAAGTAGGTTACTATGGTAAAAGACATGTAGGTTATGGTTATTAGAATTGCTTTAGTAAATCAAAAGAATGTCTCAGTGGCACAGTGCACTTTGCCTACGTGTGTGTGTGTGTGTGTGTGTGTGTGTGTGTGTGTGTGTGTGTTTTAACTTACCTTTATGTTGAAAGTATTACAGATTACATATATTAAGTCAGTTACAGAACCATCTTCCCCAGCCCCTCTAGATTTTTTATTTAATAGCTGATCACATTCCCTTCCCCATCCTCCTGTCTTTAAGACTTTATGAAATTTGAAGACGGGAACTATGTCCTGCTCACTGTTGTATCTTCCTGGAGTGACACAGAACCTGAAACATGGTAGACACTTAAAAATATTTCTTAAATTGGTGGATTAATTTCCACTGCTCCCCCAAACCTCTTTTTGTAGATACACTTTAAATTTCTAGCATTGTACATTTTAATATTTTTATACTGATGAAGAATCATCTCTCTAAAACACACATAAAGTACTATCAAATGGTTTTATTCTGCTCCTGCTACCTTGGCCTCCAGGCCCACAGCCTGGGAGGGCACCCAGACGGCCCTGAGCAGTGCCACCTAGTTCAAGCTCTGCACAAGGCCAGCCCTTGTTTTGCTAACCTGTGGTATAGCAGTTGACAGTCAAGGCCCCATGACAGATGGGTGGTGTGAAACCAGATGTCTTTCCTCAGATGCCTGCCCAAGAAAAGACTTGGTTGGGATAGTAAGAGGAACAAGCAAGACAATGGGATGCCACTGTTTTCCTCTGACTCCTGTCCTTGCTCAGAGACTTGGTTCTATCGCAGAAATCCCTAACAGGGCTACTAGGATCATTATTGAGATGCCTGCTGAAGAATCTGCTGGTGCCAGCTCACCTCAGTCTCAGAGCAGTGGCCTCAGCAGGCACATTCAATTGCCATGTGCCCCTGGTAGACATGCTTAAGCATCTGAGCATCTGGCCCTATGCCTAACAACAGTAAGATCCTCAGACAAATGTGTGTGGGACAAATGAACTTCAAATATTGTAACTGGCTTAAACCTGGATAGCATACAAATATGCATAGAATGCAGTGTGTCAATAATTACATTTGTAAAGAGTAATGACTTTGAAAGATGTTCAAAATGACTACATATGACCTAATTTTTAGAAGACAAAAAGGAACTGTTCATATATAGAAAATATATAAATAATGTTATCTCTGGGTGGTGCAAACATGGGTGAATCTTTTGCTTTGTTTTTACTTATCTATTTTTTCTAAACCTATAATAAATGCATACTACGTTTGTGATAAGAAGCAATTTTTTAAATTTTCTTAACTTTATGCAAGTACTCGGTAGCCAGCGGTGGGTCATCCTTAGTAATGTTTGTTCAGATCCTTACTTGCTTCTTCCCATCCCCTCTCACTTCTCATCCACCTGTGCCAGTTATTTCCATCCCTGGTTAGGGTGTATGGTTGTGAATACCTTTGCACACATCCTTGAATTTCTACAGTGAGAACATAAGCTTTCTAACCAAAATTTATATTTTGTCTATTTTTTCATCAAGGTGGATCCAACCGAAGAGAAAGGGGCGCCCCACCCCTTCCTCCCATCCCAAGGTGATCCTAGCCTGCTCTTCTCCACCCGAGCCCAAGAGCTACTTCTGTTGTTGCTATCAAGAGTTGCACACCCTCCTCCCCTTGCCTTCCTTGTCCCTTTCATACTGGGAGTAGGGAAGAAGGGAGGGTGATGTGGGAATATGTGTGTGGGGGGGTGGGAATGCAATGAATGCACCTAGATTTTTATCCTGTGTATATCCTCAAAGCTATTGCTTGCTTCAGCTACAGCCCACCAGTGCTGACTGCTTGGGTTCAACTAGCTTTTATGGCAAGTAGGCAGAGATGAACTGTGTCCCAGCTTTCAACCAACCAGATTCAAACATTCACTGCATGTTTGCTACAGATAACGTTAAAGTCCCTGAGAGCTGCTTGCTTCCATGCCATTTTTGCGTGCTTGGCCTCCTGTCTGTTTCCATGAACCACATGTGGACCACCTACACAAGTTGCTGAGCAAGGGTGCACATGACATTTTTGTGGTTATAGATTATAACCTTTGGCAGCCTGAGGTAGGCTCTAGGACAGACTGTCCAACAGAAATATAGTGTGAGCCACATATACAATTTAAATATTTCTAGTAGCCACAATAAAAAAAGGAAAAGAAATAGGTGAAATTAATTTTAATATATTTTTACCCCAAAATATCATTTTTACCTGCAATTAAAATAACAATTATTAATGAGATATTTTACATTACTTTTTTTGTACTAATGCTTCAAAATCTGGTTTTGTGTTGTACACTTAAAGCACATCCCTATCTGGACTAGTCACAGTTCAAGGACTCAGTGACAACATATGGCAGTGGCTACCATATTGGACAATGCAGGTCTAGAAGACAGAGGCTAGCACAAATACCTCCTGTTTAAAAAAAAAATGCACAATGATGTTTAGCAATTCAAGAGGTCACTAAAAATAAAGTTAGGACCCAACACCTTGCCTGGCAGACAGCTTGACCTTAGATTGTGCTCCCTTATTTTCCTTCTTCCCTTAGTATCTGTGTACAAGTGTTGCTTCACAGTCCCAAGGTCAGAAATTACTCTAATAGGGTTTACAGTTACGTGGAATAAAGCCATTGCAAGGAAACTGAAAGCCTGTTGGGGCTTCTGGGCTCAGAGCCAGCTGGCTGGAGAGTATCTGTCAGCTGGACTTCTGCCTTGCCCATTGGAAAAGGCCGCCCAGCTTGCTCCTCAGGCGGGGAGGTTTGTAGGCTCAGTAGTGGGGGTGGGGAGGGGGTAGTCAGGGAAAGGTAGCAAATCAGAAACTCAGAAGAAGGGATCAGATTTGGCTTGATGAGCAAACTCTAAAAATCTAAATCTGATGCTTATGGGGTTGAGAGAAAGAGACCGATACTGGAAATCAGAGGGAATTTGCTTTGAAACTATCCAAATGCAGCTATGCAAATACAGCTCCCGAAGGGACCTTAGGGAAGAGCCAGCCTTGCCTTTTTTTGTATGATTTTGTTTACAGACTTTACTGGGATTTTTAATCTAGCTACAGAGTTGGGGGGGGAATGTCCGTTTAGTTATTTTATAACAGTTGATTATGTTTGAAATTACCATTACTTGTTTTTCAAAGCACATGGTCACAAATGTATATGTATATCTACCTAAAGTTTGTATCATGGTTTCAGTGTATTGTTCATCTGTGACTGAGAGATGCTAACAAGAAATCAATCCAAAGAAAATTTTGAAAAAAGCATTCCTATTTATAGAATAACTGTTTCATTTATATAAAAGCAAAAGAACTTAGAGTTCTATTAAATGGGATGTCTAAATAATTATGATGTTGCCCATTTGAATATACTGTATTTTTATAACTTTTCTTGCCAAAGTCCTGGGCTTAGTACATTAGAGAACGTGGGTCCCTCCCTCCTCTACCTTTAATTTGTCTTTCAGGCACTTGGGGTCCTTTACCCAAAGAATCAAGAAATATAAAGGTATAACAAGCTTGGCAAAGTATTTCCTCCCCCAAAAAATGGTATTGCTCATATTTTGGTAATATAGCAACATCGTTTTATTTGGGATTCTTTGATCAGGTATCATTCTTGAATCTATAGTTGATTAAAACTCCTATGAGAAAGCCTAATGACCCACTTCAGAAAAGAGGCCTTGCTAGCAAATATGGCAGAGGAAAGTGTGACCCAAAGAAAGGGGGTCTGGATTTTGTACAGGGAAGTACGAATAGCCAATTTCCTTGTATATCTCAACTTTGCAGGTACCATCCTAAAGTCTGAAACAGGGTCACAACTCAAAGTTACTATTCACCCAGGAGGGAGAAGTTTTAGAATGTGTTTTTTAAGTGAATGTTTCATGAATACACTTATGTTCTTGCTTTGAAAGTTAGCAACCTAATTGCATCCAAAACTCTGAATAAGTTCTATGCTAAAATTTTCAGCTATGGTAAATCACAAAAATGAATAATTTTCTTCCCTGAAATCAGAGCTTACATGTGTTTTTCCATAAAATTTCCAGGTAATGTATTCAAGATGCAATACAGTATTTTAACATTCACATATCATTTTATATTGAAATGTATTACAGTATTAAAATTCAGTGTTCGGTATTTATTTCACTATGCATTTTATTTAGTAAAAGCCTAGAAAGTGTTTAATCCAATGGTGCCTTACTTTGTGATTGGAAAGAAATCAACTTTTTATGTCTAAGTAGCAGGTTATTTGCATATTTGTAACAAACGGTTAGGCCTTTATATTTTAACTTGTAATACCAATTGTGTTATCTTAGTAAGATATGGGATGGGATAATTGTTAAAGTGCCCCGAATTTTTGGTATGAAATTAATTTTCCCCTGTTTATAGTCAGGGACTGTAAAGAAAGAAAAAAACATTTTTCATACCACTGCACTATGTAAACAAACACATTTTGGTATCTAAGTCATGGGGATAGTTTAAATGGGACAGAGTCTATCCAAGACATCTGTGTCTTTGTAAGTTAGCCACCAAATAAATAAAAGCAGAATGATATGAGTGTCACCTGGTGGTTTTTATTTAAGTATTGTCTATGTAAATGTAAACAAAAAAGCAAGTGTCTGTTTTCCGTTTTATACTCTGGTAAAGAAAGACATTCTCGGGAAAAAAAAAGAAGAAAAAGAAGAAGAAAAGGTCTCTATAAGTAAGTAAATATTCATCGCATCCACTTTCTAATACCTTGTTTTTCCTGAGAACCTGTCTCTTCATCAAAATCTTTTGTCTTTGAAACAGATGCTTCTATTCTGTGGTAAAGATGGATGGTAGAAGCAATGGAAGATGAAATTAAAAAGACTAGCATTGACATTGATAAATATAGGAAAGGCCAATGGGAATTTAGGAGGCCTTCCCTCAGCAGATAGGACCAGATTTGGGTGGATGGGCAAAACTCTAAAATTCTAAATCTGATGCTTATGGGGTTGAGAGAAAGAGACCGATACTGGAAATCAGAGGGAATTTGTTTTGAAACTATCCAAATGCAGCTATGCAAATACAGCTCCTGAAAGAACCGTAGGGAATAGCCAGTCTTGCCCTTTTGTGTGTGATTTTAAATTAACAGCTGTGTATGTAGGTGTGCCTGTGTACCTATCTCAGTATACTATAATAGTTAAGAGATTAGGAAGACCTGGCTCCATCGCCTACTTAACTTCTCTAAGCCTCAGTTTCCTTATGTAGAAAGTGAGCTATCTTATAGCATTAGTAAGTGCACTAAATGATAACGCACTCACCCTGACTTCTCTAAGTGCTCAATAAGTGGTAGCCACTATTAGTATGAACTGAAAACAAATATTTATATAATGATCTCAAACTAACTAGAACCAAATTGACTAGAAGGGGATTTACTAGTGTATTTTTAAAGGAAAGCAGTAAGAGCAGAAAAATCATCCCTATCAGAAATGCAAACAACCTCCAGATGAAAGTCACCTCAGGTGCTGTCAGCCCCTTACACTTCACAGGCTGGGAAACGAAAATTCATGTTACTTCAGTTCTCAAAGGAATTAGTAGATTCAATTGGAAATCATAGAAATTGAGACTTGGAAAGAGCCTTATATAAGGACAGGCTTGGAATTTATAACCCACAGTGGAACACTTTAAAGTGGAAAGGATGCTAATAATCGTTGCCCTGGCACCACAGATATAAGCCAGGGCTGCCTTGGCAAATGGGGCCATGTGGTCACCCCGAGCAGAGGTCATCTAGTCCAACTCTGTGGCCTTACAGTTGGGTAAATTAAGGTCCCAAATCACATACTAATAGGCAAGCAGTATGGCCCTTCATCATAACACACTCAGTTCTTTATAATCCTATCACTTGCTAAAGTCTGTTTCACGTGTCTTTCACATTAACTGGAAAGAAGGACAAATGATAAGTTAGAGTCAGAATGAGTCATGGGCACATGAACCTGGATCTGAATCCCGGCTCTGCCGCTTGCTCCCTGAAAGGCCACGGAAAGGTAGTTAAGCCCCCTGAACTCCAGCCCCCTCAACTGCAAAATGGTTACAAAGCTTAAATGAATGTACAAAATATCTGGCACATGTCAGGCACTCAGTGAAAGTTAGTTCCATTCCATTTCCTAATCCTTCTGCCATCGAACCTAGGCCATATTCAGTAAAAAATTTTCATTGCATTCAAAGGAGTCTGATAAAATGTAATTACAGAATTCTTAGAATTATTAGGGAAACAAGTCTGGATATTATTAGACAATGAGCTGAAATTTGGCTTAAATCTTCACTAGGACGATGCCTGCCAGAACACCTGGAATATCCATCATGGACTTCACAAAAATGTGTTTTAGTTATGAGGAACTCCCACTTTTTTCCTGTTTGCTGTCTTTCTGAGCAAGTTAGTAAGTTAAAGGTCACCTGTAAGAATGCTATCTATTTCCGATAGGTCCCTGAAACAAACAGCAGCAGATAATTGGGAAAACCTTAATTCTATGGAGCTATTGTATTCCAAGATTCATTTTTACATTTATTCATTCAAATCATCAACAAACACTGACTTCGATTTAAGCAAAGATACACATTCTACAACAGGAAAGTACTAGTCCTGGAACCAAGGGTGTATATTTAAATTCTAGATCCAATGAGAACTTTAGCCAGTAGGCACAACCCCACCCTATCGCTGATTCTGGAATGTTCCTAACAACTGACACAAGGCTCTTGGGCTGGCTGTGTCCATGAAAGGGAAATTGCCTTGGTCTTAACGCTTGGAACAAAGGCATGGATAGGTCCCAAATGAGGCCACTATGGAATAAATGGGAAAACATCAAACACAGCAATGAAAACACAATTTTATACCATTGACATTCTATCTAATTTACTTATCTAGAAGACAACACTTCCATATTGTCCTTATTCTTCATCTAGCCGCCACCAATTATTGATTACCTACAATGTACGACAAACTGTGCTAAGATCTTTGCAAATATCAATGACTGTGTTACTGTTGATCTTTGTGACTTTACACATGGAGAAATCAAAGCCTGAGTGGATTAGAAATCCTCAAGGCACTTGCCTTGAATAGATCCAGAATTCAAACTCAAGGTTGAGTA